TCACAGATTATTGATTTTCTATTTAGGCTTCACCCTACCTAAATCGTAAAAATATATTTGTAACCTTCTTAATCTATTCCCGAATGTACTTGGAGGCGTTTGAAATTAAGAAGGACTCGTGCCCCTCATCGTCATTCTAGTCCACCCATGGACAGTTTCTGCACAAGCAACATATCATAATACTCTGTATAATACATAATACATATACATAATACTCTGTATAATCATATCATATAATAATAATAATATATTTACAATTTTTAAAATGTTAGGTAGCTATATGAAAAGTGTTATTTATAAGATTTTTGAAAAGTATGTGACATGTCCTCGGTTATCTGACTACATAATACATATTTAGTCAGTTGTCACCATAACCTAGTCTCTCCGAAACTTTCCCAAACCATAGGATTATTAATTAATGTATTCTCATTTAATCAGTTTGGGTTACAAAAAAAATAAAAAAAATAAAATTCCAAACATTAAGCATGGTGGAAAAAGCTTTTATGTGAAAATAATAATTATGTCAATAATCGTCCACACTTTCCAAGACACTGAAGAAATCCCTGGAAAGTGTGAACTAAATATCAATGGCTATCGACCTAGAGAATAAAAACAGATTAACTAATATCTCATATTAGCTTTTAAGAAGATACTACAATGAATTTCCATTAATAAAATAATAATAATTTTAATTTATAAATAAAATAAAAATAGCAGTGTAAACTTATATTTATCGTTTTAAATATGATTTGATAAAACATACTTTAACTAAGCTGACTAAAAGATTGATCAATCTCGGTTGCCATACTATTTCTCAAGAATCATTATTTTTAAAAACATTTTGAAGTGAATTAAACATACATTCGCTTGGCATTAATGAACTCTTTCAGTCTTCCAACTTTTTTTTTGTTATTAAAATACCTGCTACTGTGAACAATATTTCCTCAGAACATTATATTCCGTAACCACTACTACCATAAAAGGTCCCATTCATTCTTGAAACTAGCTACTTGGGTAGAAATCCTTGTTAGGCATGTACACATTAAGCCTATGCTCGCAGTGAGCTAACTCAAGAAGACTATCTCACTCAATCCTCAACGGCCGAGTGAATCGAGCAAGGTTTTCCCCTAAGTGGTTTGATATCTACTCTCGCTGAGCAAGTTATTTTTAGTCGGCGGAGTCTTTACGATCCTCCCGGACGTTCTGAACGAAAATAATATCTGAATAAATAAAAGGAAACCATTAAAGAGTCCATTATGTGGAAAAAGATTGGGATTATCTCAAAGGGCGTTCCCCGGGTAGAATAAGAGAAGACATAAGTGGTTTGGGCGATATAAAAGGAAGCGGTCGCTATCAGGGCGCCACCTATCTGCTCTGGACACTGGTAAATAGGTTATACAACACGGCCCTCGCCACTTCCTCTTGGCCCATCTGTCACTATTTTCAGCTTATAAGCTTTATAATTAATATTTTTTCCTAACCTTCCCATTCTATTTACAATATATACACATGTATACAATAACAATTTAGTATTTTCGTGTATATATATATTTTATTAATGAACTATGAAACTGTATAAAAACAAATATATACATCCTATAAATGTGATACAGAGAAATACAATGACATGAGAATGCTTGCAAAGGAACTACCCATTGGTTGCACTCTAATAAAAATTCAAAATTAGATCACGAGGCCATCTTCTTTTCAAACGCCTAAACGGTTCGATCAGGGATCGAAGAGGAAGCAAGGTTTGAAACGATAGGGTTCGGATGGTTATAAAGTTTATTGTGGAAGGACAGGTATCTGGATTGGGCCAAATCGGAAATATGTGGAACATTAAGGTCTTTATGGATTACTTTTTTTGTGACAATGTATGGAGTATTGAGGATTTTACTTAGGATTTCTAAAGGATTGTATACGGGAGTAATTCGATGGTTTAGTGGGGCCCCAAAGCTCAACTCCTTAAGTCCAAATAGGCTCACATGTACGAATATATGAATCTTTTGTAATTAATTGGAAGTTTAGAGCATCTGTTTAGTATGTGCTGAAGTACCCGGAAACGTTGAGCGTTTTTTTGCTGTTTCAATCTTATATGAGGATTCCAAGTGAAACTTTATCCAGGTGCAGTCCTAGAGGGTACCTTATAATTAAAAATTATTTTTCAAAAGCATTATAATATTATTTCGCGGGGAGTTTTACAATCAACAATATGAGAGGCATTCGTAATTCGATGTCTATTGGAAAAATGTGTTGAAGAGTGTCAATGGATAACCCATTACAGAGATACCCGTTATTAAAGGACCCAATTTTTTTCTATCTTCTAAATTCATCCTGCGGAAAGAAGGATGCAATTCCATCAGATTTCCTTATCTATTGGAAGTAAATAATTTCATAACAGTAAGGAAAAATAGGTTTTATTCATTCATGAAACCAAGATATTTGAAATCAACTTTCACCGATTTTTCTTGTCTGGTTAAGGTCAAAGCTGATCGGGAATTATTGCTTGGTCGTTAACCTTAGTTGGGAATTTAAGTCCTTGTTGTTAGGAATTTGCTTCCTGGCGTTTCCGATTCACTTAAAGTTTTGATTCTATTCAATACTTAATTCTATTTCTAATAATAAAACTTCACATTTGGTCCATAAGTCATTACTTTATTTTTTCATTTACCAACCTTTCAATTCTTATGGCCATTTTAAAGGGACAAGAAACCTTATTTTAATACTAAAAACATCTGGGATTACTTGCAAATCTCTTCCAAATGTTTTGATTTTCAAATAAAGTTGTTTTTTTCTCCTTGAAAATGGTCAAGACGTTGATGAATGAAAAAATGAAGTAAGACTTATAGATATTTTATTACTGTGATCGCTATGTATGTATGTGTATATATATATATATATATATATATATATATATATATATATATATATATATATATATTATAGTTGATAGTAGAGAAAGATGTAAAAAGTAAGAATTAAATAGCAATATAGGAATAATATTTAAAATAAGAATGTAGCATAAATCTTTACATATTCATTGTTTTAATTATTTAGTTCGAAAAGTCAATCTAGTCCTAAAATTCATCGACTCCAAGATTTCCACTATATGTTTTGAAATGTTTAATTTTCATATTTTAAATCATATTAAAAAAATTCTGACTATTGGAAATCTTTAGAAGAAAAAATTACTAGTGGCATAACAAACTAAAAACCTGTAAACGTTGAAGGTGATAAACTGATTGCTAATTTTTTTGTTATAATCTTATTTGTATTAAGGATGCGTTTTATTAATGAACCTATAGTAAACGTTCATTTAAATTGTAAATCAAATTTTTATTGGTACTCAGAAATTTATTATTAAATAAAAAATTGCAAAAGTTAAGTGTTGGTAATTAAGTTCTTGTTCCTCCATTTATTTATTTTTTTAATCCGTGTTTATCGTAAGGTATTCCTCAACTCTTTTCAATCGAACGAGGAAACGCCTAACCTGCCGCTAGAGTACTCTGGCAGACATGAGCAACTGGGACTGAAGGCCTTGCACGACCCGTACTGGCTAATCATGAGATTGGCACAGTTGTGATTGACGGGAAGAAAGGGGCCCAAGGCAATCAGTACTGATGATAATTCCCATTGAATGGTTGGCCAGGGCGCCCTTTGTGGAGGAAACAAGAGGCGCCATCGGCCATTGTTGCAAAGAGGTCCTTGTGTTCTTGAATGTAGTAATGAGCTTTCACGGCTGTCTCGGGGCTCATTGGCGCCAGTCTCCAACCTCACTGCGGGTTTTTTTATTATAAAGCTAAACATAAGCAGCTCTCCGGGGCGTAGTCTTCCTTCCAACTGCTAACCTCGGATAAAGACCATAGTTTAAGTTTTAAAAAAATCAAGGTTTAATTACCAATTTTATTCCGCCAAGCCTGATATCTATCTTGAACTGCACCATCCAGGTTAATAAAACTATACGCTTCTCCCCGATTCATATTAATCTACTGTTTAAGATACTGCATATTTTTTTATAGGACCTTTTTTTTTCTCTTGTATCTCTTAGTCATGACGTACAAAAAAAAAGGTCCCTTTTCCGTAACTCATTGAATTTTAAATTTCTTATTATTTTTCTTCCTGTCAAATCTTTGTCCCTCGTCGTTCTGGATTCTTTTCGTGCATTCCATAGCTGACAAAAGATTTTTTTCTTGGACCTATGCTAACGAGTTTTGGCCATTTAAACATGTTCTCAGTTGACCTAAAACTGGTGGTGCCACTATCAAATCCTGTCATCCCGTGTTTTTTTTTTTTTTTTTGTAAATTTTAACATTTGGTCTGTGGCAATAAAAAATAGCTTGAATTTTAATAACAATAATAATAATAAATTTTAATAACAATTAATTGTAGTTTGTACTCTTTAGCAGATCACTTGCTAGTAATTTCAATTTAAAACGCCATTTTTCCATGAAGATTACATCACATTTCGCGTAGCATGTTTGAAGTATCGGAGAGTTCATCTCACTGCCTCAAACCTTTGAATCAAAATAAAAATAAGTAATGTATTCAATTTCTTTGTTAACATATCTTCAAATATACCCATACGAACAAAATAAATTTGTTTTTTTATACTTTGTATCATATTGTTCGATTTACAATAATTATGTTTTTGTGTTAATTATCACTCATTATTTTTATACTTGATATAGTTATTAATTTTTTTGGAGGGGAGGGGCAGGGGGTTTCCATCATCCCCCCAAACAGAATGGAAAGCCTGCGCCTATGGTCGAACCCCCCACATGTTGCTTCAGCAGCTGTTCCCCTTCGCCCTCACCCGGTATTATTATGTCTAGCTCTGTTCCTCCCCGTTATCCTTCCATCTCCTTTGTATATCCTACCAATAAGAAAGACCTTCAGGATTTACCTACAGGATTATGTAGTTTATAGATTATGCCATTATAATTAATAACAATTTATATACCATTATAATTGACTAATTTTGTTGTTGTTGTGTTGTGCAGAAGTACACCCAGGCTGGTGCCGGCTGGCCTACTGGGAGCTCTCGATGAGGGTAGGTCGACAGTTCCCCGTCCATAACCAGTCGGTCAACGTCTTCTGGAACCTTCCTCACGGGGACGGGCTGTCCCTGCGAACCCTGGCGGCCAACGAACCCCAGCCGCCCAGCGCCGTCCTCAAGGCGAGGGACAAGATCGGAAAAGGTGAGTTCATCGTCCTCCAAAGGGTTTATCAAAAGTGTCCTTAGTATCCAGTCTTCTTCCATAACGGTAGATAGATTAACTTCTGTGTTTTTCAACAAAGATGATTTTTTCCAGATGCTATTAAAATCATTCCTGTTTGGAAGAGGATCTGTTACATAATCTTATTTACGTGCATTTGCTAAATATATTTGAGAACTGTCATTGGGATCATTTTGAATGAGTAACTTCACACAAAGTCGGTCCAAAATGAAATAGGAATAAAAAATAATTTATTCAATGCTGCTTATAAATTGTACCATACTACATGGGCCAACATTTGCTGTTCTTTTGGATCTTAACTGTATGAAATTACTGTTCTTATTTTTATTATTATCCTAATCCTAATCCTTATTAGCATAAATTCTTTTCCAATGATTTTTGTTTTTCTATTCATTTATTGAAATTTACTACCGTATAAATAAATACAACAAGCAAATCTGCTATAAGAATATGAAACACGATATTAGCTAGTGATGAATCTATCCATTGATAAAACTTCAACAATTTAGGAGGTCTCTTGGCCATCTTCTTTTCAGACGCTTCGGAGCGTTGTCAGGAATTATTTTGGATAAAAGTTTATGAACTAGAGAGTTGGGGTGACCTACGTTTTTAGAATTTAAAGAGAAATATCTAATTACTACTAAATCTTCTAACCAAGTCTTTATGGATAATTTTATTTTTGAAAAAATAATGGGCATTAACGATTTTGCAGAGGGTTGTGGATTATAAGGATATGATATTGGAAGAGGTTGATGATTTTGTGAATTCCAATAACTCAAATTTGATAAGATTTTGAAATTTAAATCGCATGCGTATAAACACGATGTTTTCGGGTCTCCTTTATTTTTTCGTTCTGAAAAGTGACAAGAAAAGCTCCTTGAGACACCGCAGGTGAAAATCGGGAGCTAGGTGACTATTGGGCGTACCCCAGATCAATAAGGCAACATCTGACCCAATGATAATATACTCCTTAGTACATTGAACCCTCCGTGTCTAGACGCCAGAGGGATACAGTTTCGAAAACAGATCTTCGAGTGCCGTCCTTGGTAAGGTATTGATTTAGTTTTCGATAATTCTGTCATAATATTTCTCCTCAATTGTCGTTTATTATCATCGTTAAAAAATAAATCATGCTTAAGGATGTTCGAGTCCTGAATTTTAAAATTAAATATAGTTCATTTTTGGGTGGTGGAGATTTAAACAACTTTTTTAACAAACTGGTTGTTTCTGAATTCTTCAGTTGTGAAATGGGTTCTAGCGTTCGTCCATGAAAGTCGGCCATTTGAATATTAATTGTTAATATCGTTGAGGTCAGAAGGCCACGTCTTTTGTCAGCTAAATTAGAGTAATTACTAATCAAGCCTACTACGTCGCCTCTTCTTCACCTAAGCTTGTTTTTATTTCTCAAAAAGATGGCAAAGGCTTTCAAGATACATCGGAATTCTTGCAGAATGCCTTTTGGATGCAATGGTTGCCATAGGATACTTGTCTGCTACTTATGTTTTATAAATTAAAATATTGATTTTTATTTTAGTCTTCGAAGAAAATAAATCTAATGCTTCTTTGACTTCTTGGCACTTAAGATGATATAGAAAGAAACTTTTTTTATATATCTAATCCATTAAAAACAATCATGGATGTCTTCTATACTCTTAGTGAGAGACCTGTAACCAAGGCTCTAAGCCCTAAACAAATGGATCTCTTAAATTCATTGAATGTCTTATTACTTAACTATTAAACTGGAGGGATGTTTTCCAATGGGAAATATTGTTAATTTAAATTTTATGTTGAATCGACCATCTTGATAACATTACATTGTGCATACGAATAAATATGTTTCGCTGATGTTGCTTATATAAGTGGAATGCATTAGGGAAAAGGATAGCTAGCTATCTACTTATCTAATGTCAGTTCTCATTGGGGTTTATTCGGTATAGTTTTGTTGAAATGAACATGCTCTACTGTACTTTTCCTTGAACTTACAGATTTGTTTTTGTGTTACAGGAGTTACCCTTAGTAAAGAGGACGACGGTATCTGGGCGTTCAACCGTTCGGATTGCCCCATCTTCGTGAACTCGCCGGCCCTGGACGACCCGGACTCCAGGTTCTTCCTGGTCTACCGGGTTCCGCCGGGACATTGCCTCAACATCTACAACGGTAGCCCGCGAGCCCCCCGGTGCCAGAGCGGCCCCATCGACCTCAACTCGGTGCGGATCAGCTTTGCCAAGGGGTGGGGCCCCAAATACTCGCGGCAGGACATCACGGCCTGCCCGGTGTGGCTGGAGATCCTCATGGCCCCCTGCAGGTGACACAGCTCCCGTCGAGTTTGAGGAGCCATTCATCTCATCAGCTTTAAAGGGAATATTGTACTTTTTCTAAAAACATTTTGTTGCGCCAGTTATTCTTATTGCAATTTTTTTTTTTGTTATTTCGTTGGTAATGTCTATTTTTTTTTCTTAAACGAGCGTTTCCATTAGTCTTAACTGCCAATCTGTACCGATGAAACATATAAACAAAAAAAAATTTAGTATACTGTTATTGTGTAACTCTGTATTTATTGTGTTAATTTATTATTATATCTTTGCTCTCAACAGGCCACTATTTATTGTATATTACAAATGTCTATTTTATGGAAATGAATTCAGTGTGATAAAGAGTCAGATGGGACATTGTTTTCCAAAATTTAGTTGTTAAAAAAATGAACGGAAACTCATTTAAGATATTATCTGATATTTTAAATGAATATTCCTGAATCTGTTTTATTTGAGTGAAATGATTAAAAAATCCCTCTGACTTTTTATCAGTCCATTCATGTTTAGTATTTATATCTTAACTCCAAGTTTAATAAAAATAAACTTGAATATTTTATTTAGATTATTGTTGAATAAACAAGAATTAAAATTAATGAATCTCATTTGTTTTTATTATTATATTTTATCTGTAAATCCTAATGTGTTGTTAGACTTCCATTGTACGTAATCATGTAGAACAAAGATATAGCAATCACTATGATTCAATCATACAATTATTATTTATAATTTTGGTTGATTTGTAGTGTTGGTAAAACGGAACATTGATTGATTGATATTGAACGATTACAATGATCTCAAGAGATGAATACTTAGAAAACAAATAAAATATAATAATGATAACTTATTTAATATTTAATATTGGTAATTTAAAATGTCATAGTGTTTGTGGGAAAGGAAAAAACTGTTTCTGTTGAATATAAAAGTTGTTTCAAAGGTACATGTTTTTAACATTGGCAGACTTCATATATTTGTTTTCTTTATTTTTTTATACGTTTTCATTTCAATTATAAAAATAGCTCGTCCATGTGTTGGTAACCGATTAGACTGAAAAATTTGAGGACCTTAAATATTATTCATAGAGTTACCAGAAAGAAAACTTAAATATATAAATATATTCATTGTACATTATGAGTATAACAGAAATTGATATTTATATAGAAAAATTACTTATTTCCTTTAACACGCATTATTTTTTTTTTTATATATATATATATATATGAACTTGCACCTGTCGATGCTGTTCGATGTATCCTAGTCTTGTAGTGTAAAAATCTGGATATTAAGAGTTTGAAATGCTCAAGTAAAACAGAACTTGTAAAGATTATAAACTTAAAATTTCAGTCTTTAAACCAACCCTCTTCCGTTGCAGGTGTAGCAATATCCTTTGTTTCTACTTTTGGTTTTATATTTTAAATCAACTCCCAGTCAAAACTTAAGTGTATCATCAGACCACAAGAATTAACTACTAATATGATGTTATCTTGATAATTTAAACAAAAGCATTTTAAATCTTTGGAGGTTGGTACAGTATGCAACAAAAAGATGTGTGGTTAATGAGGCATTGTTAATTTTATGTAATAGCTTTAAGCAGTATTGTTTATCTTTATTTTATTTTTTCCGTTAAGGTCACCAGGCAATAATGTGCCATTTTCAATATCAAAAGATGGACAGCATGTACCTTAAAGGAAGTTTTGTTTTATTTTCAAAATATATATGTTATTTTCAGTAATATATGCTATTCATATATAATAGATATATATTAATTCACATTTTATTAAAATTTACTAACAGGTGTTGTAAATACTTATTCCTAATGAGAATCCAATAGTCAACTTTTCAAAGGATTCTCTTTAAATTAATCTGTTATACCCATATTTTTAAAATGTCCAATATAGTGATGTGCCTTCTTATGTAAGCTGATTCAAATATGATCCAGATAAATTTTGTATTTAAAGAAAAGTGATAACTCAGGGTGTTTGTTAAATGATTGATTCTGGAGAACATAGACATACAATTTATTTAGAAGAAATGATCAGTGTTACTCTGCTTGAGTTCTTTTCAGTCATTAGTGCCTAAAACCCACCATGCCTTAGAATTATAGTGCATTGATTATTATTCTTCCTTTTAGTAACACACGTATACGCTCAAACACAGATATATACAAATATATTAATATTTGTATACATCTGTGTATGTTTGTGTAAAAGCAAAATACTTGTTAATGAAAATAAAATTCCCAACAGTGACTAATGTGTTGGTCGATGATACTAAATAGACTAGAATTGCCTTACACCTTGTTATTATATATACATAAGAGCTTATTGTAAATAAAAATGTCAAACAGGCATGAAACCTATGTACTTCTGAGGAATTTTATTTCTTTTATATTCAAGTCATAAAATCTCTGTGTTATTCCCCTTGTTGAATCTAGTTCATTAAATGTACTTAAATTAAGTACTTTAATTTAATAAAATCTGCTAAATGTTTTAACAAGTTTCATAAATTGTAAGGATTATAGACTGCCTATTTAAAAAAAATTATTATTGAAAATATATTTTTTCAAACAAATTTAAAAAAGAAAAAAAAAAAAGAAATATAAAATTTTGCCACATTTAGATGCTCGTGCCTTGTTAAATGCACTTATTATTTTAAAAATACTATTTGTACCTTGGTGATACATTTTATGCCAAATTTTTAAGCAAGTAGCAATAAATAGTAGCCTGAGTCACTAAATTATAAATTTAATAATTTTTTATCTTCACAATTAACTTAGTAAAATTGTTATGAAAAACAAAAAAATGAGGCATTCCAGCTACCTTAGCAAAAAGATAAATATGTGTATAAATTTAATCTCAGTAATAAAAAAAAAATCAAGTTAACTAGTTCTACTCAACTTTGGCTCTAAATCCTACGTGTACTTATACATTCTTAGTTTGTACCAGATTATAATGTTTTTTATGTATTCATATTTATATATTTATATTGACTTCCTGGAATTTATTATTAAATGTAAGAATACCTGCTTTGTAAGTCAAGTTGTTGAAAAGCAAGCTTAAATTATTTTAAATTACAGACTTTATTTTTCCACAATCATCACTAATCTTTTTTATTGTTGATATTGTAAAATAACAGTTAGACTGTAACTTTGTTGATGTTATAGTATATTTATTATTTTTCATTATAATATATTGTAAATATTTTTTAAAACTCGTCCAATTAAATAAAAAAAGCAGGTGCCTGAGTGCCTGAATACCACATTAATGTACATATTGTAAAAATAGAAATCGTTGTATTATAGTTAAATTTAACAACAATGTAATGGCTATTTTATGTATATATAAATTACATAATGTGTAACTAAATACAGGGGAAAATATTATTTCTCATTTATATTAAATAAAATAAATTAATTAATTACTTATGTAGAAAAGTCCTTTTATTTTCACCTCCAACCATTCTATTATAAGTGTCTTGAATTTTTATAATTTTTAAACAGAATCATGCCCATCAAGTTTTGATTTATCCATTTTGAGTTCAAATTATCTAAACGTATTCTTAAAAATGAATACATCATAATTTTTATCTATTTTGAGAAAAGTATCTTGTTATGGATTTTTGTATCTGTAATACCAATCCTTTTTACAAATTAAATTAAAAAAAAAAATGCTTTCATCCAATATGTTCTCGATTGTTTTTGGGTAAATTCATTTTTATTGCTCTTTACATTTACAAATGCAGTCGAATTTTAATTTTTTTTCTGTTTGCATTACAAACCAGGTAGATCTTTTGCCGCCTTAACAAGCCTGCTCTATCTCTACCTGTCTTGGGCTATTTCTTTCCATTTTCTGCACGCAGTTCTATTGCATCTTTGTTGATTCTATCTATCCATCTGTTTTTTTGGCCTTCCATGTGGTCTTTTGCCTTCCATTGAGGCATTCATTGTTACGTAGAGGCTTCCAGATGGACAGCTATGAGCTACATGCCCCGTCCGTCTTAACCTCTGTGCTTTCATATCGTGGGATATTGATTGACCAGTTTCTGTAAGCAGTTCCTAATTGGTCTTTTTCCTCTATGTGTTAGTACTCTGATCGCAGATCGCTACGGTTATCATGCGTAGGATTTTTCTCTCAAATATTTCAAAATTTTTTCTAGAGTGCTGGTTAGTGTCCGGGTCTCGCAGCCATATATTAGAACTTACTTTATCATAACATTGTACACCCTTAATTGGAGATTTTTCAGGATTTCAATAACTTTGAAAGGGAGAAGAAAGCTCTGATTGTGCTAGTTATGCACTGGTCTATTTCTGCCTGTTGATCATTCATTGAGGTTATTATGCAATAGAATAATAAATTATATCGCAAAGGTAGTTTTTCTGTTGGTACCCCATATCGCCGTTAATTATTTACCAAATCTAATGATGGAATCATCATTTTGAAAATTACCTTCTCCATTAAGTGTGAGAAACAAGCACATCTCTCCAGAAAAGTCAGGAAAAAATTGTGAATAAAAAAAAACTTTATTTGCTCATAACCCAAAAAACTATACAATTTATGGCTAATTATATCCATAATAATTTGAAAGGATTTCAAATATCCTACAAAACAAAAACATAAAAATAGCATATTGAAATTGCACCATTTTTAGTAAAGACATTACGAATTATAAATCTACTACATTTTTTGGTGTACCATATTGAATGAAAATTGATTCCTCCCTCTCATAATATATTGTAATACTTAATTCCTTATTATATTTCCATTCATTTGCTTTATTTATTATTATGTGAATTAATCACACGGGTCAAATTTTTGGTGTACAAAGTATAAAAATTTTCAGGTTTCTAAAAAATAAAATATATATATATATAAATAGACTAGCTCAATAAATGAAAGTTTATCATTTAGAAATTAAGTTAAAAAATCATATTAATAAAATACTTTTTATTACTATTTTTCACGGTTTTTTTTTTGCTCTAAACACTGATTAAATAAGTTTATGATGTGAATATCATTTTGTCTGAAGCTTCATTGACCTTAAGAGTTTTTGATAAATTTTTGGTAAGTTTTATTATATTTAGTGTTGATATGTAGTGATTACTCTCTCAAAATAATTTTTTCAATGCAACAATTCCATCTCCTCAAATGGAAGATGTTCATTGTAATTATTATGCTATTATAAAGCAATAGCAATTCAAAAAATATTTAAAAACTGGCTTACGATTGTCATACTATTAAATCTTTAAGTTTTTTATTTCATCATTACTTAGAAGTAAAATTTATTTAAAATGTCAGAAATAATACTTTTTTTTTTAATAGTTCCGAACCATTAAAATTAAGTTCACTCTTGTGAAATACACTCTGTTGATGAAACTCATTGGTGGATCCAGATAGGTGAGACTTTTGGAATGAAGTCCTCTCCCAAAAAATGAAAAATAATTTTTTTTTTCCATATTTGTTAATCACATATAAACTTGTTTTAAATTTAAATCATATACAGTTTCCATGTATAGGCATGAGTTGGCGGGACCAAAAAATTATCCCTAAAATTATTACCGTTCACACTTCCAGTTTCGTACTTCCTGTAATTACCATATCATTTTTTTTTGTTTTTACTGCTTAAACATCATTTTATAAAGTTTCTTTCAATTTCTTCCAGAGTAATTATATTTGTGAAACAAAATTTGACTGCATTAAAGAATAAAAATAAAATCCTCCTTCCTATTTATTTCTTTTTCAGTTGCATTGATATTAAATCAAACAATAACAAAGAAAGAAAGAAGAAAGAAACAGAACTTTTCTTACTCTTCATGGTAAAGTTGTTCTTTGAATTCAAGTATATCAATTGTTCATATAAGATAATTGTTAAACTTAATTATTAGGATTAATGAAATAAAATATATAATGTTCTAATCAATTTGTTTGTGTCACTCTCATGTTATGATTTATTAAATTTTTTGTTCTGTAAATGAAGTTTTATTATATATATTCTAGTTAGTAGATACGATATAACCTATATAAAAAAAATAATATTAATTGCATATTTCATTAATAACTTAAAATAAAGTTTATCAAAGTAGCATTAAATTATTAAATTAAATACAATTAATTAATTGTTCATAAAATAAATATGTCCTCTCCAACTCATTACAATAGTGTCTAGTTCATCTGATAACGAAGCTACATAATAAAAATAAATTTAACCTAGAAATGCACTGTTTCATATGAAGCAAGAAAGGAATTCTCAAGACTCCTTATCTCTCCTGGAGAGGCTAATGGAGCCAGGAAGTTTCTAATGGAGAAACCCTGTCACCAGCTAGCTTTCAAAACAAAAACATAATCACTCCTCAAAATTTGTTTTCGATCAATGTTCTTTTAAAACTGATATGATTGCAAAATAGCTTAATCAGAACATTTTTTTTTATTGATTAAAATTTGTCTTAAAAAAAATATTTTGAATATTTAAATTTGTTTCATTTATTAAAATAATTGTAATTTCCGGATTCTGTTTGTAATTTATTTGAATAATTGATTTTTCTGTAATTAAATTTAAATCTCTTTTACAGAACTAAAAAGGTTCCCAGTGGTTGAAATATGTAACAAATCGTATAAATAAATAACAAAAAATATATAAAATTTTATTAACCTTTGAAGTCACTTATAAAATATGTGAAACATATCAATTCTAAGTCTAGTTGGATAGACAAACAAATAGATCAGTTTTATAAGAAAATATACATTTCTTTATTTCTTAAATTAATTTCAGGTCATTATTAATTTTCCTGTCATTTTATATTAATGTTTGTGTTTTTTAATTTGTTTCATTCATAACTAGAGAGATGGAAAAAACAGCTTATTATTTTATAGTCTGGATTAATTATTTCAGTTATTACACTTCACAAGCTGACTAACCAGACAAATAAATTCTAACTTTTGTTAGCCCAATAACAGTTGATAAGTAAATCTTCCTTAAAATTGTAAGTAACCAATTTTCTAATCGTGACAAAAAGTTAACCATAAATAAAATAACTAATTAATTATTAATAGTACCACACATTCCTTTAGTAAAATAACAAATGTATGTAGATGCAATTTAATTAGAGGTAACCTCTTTTTTAAAGTATTAAATAAATCTTGAATGTAGTTTTATTTTGATGTTTAAAAACAAAATATCTATTGAATAATCACCAAAGGTAACAACTAAATTTATAGTGAAAATTAAAATATTCAACAATTTCCAAATGAACTTTTTTTTCTTATTTATTGGTTTATATGTGAATATTCTTGTTACATATATATTTAAAGCAGAAACACGGAATAATTTTGAATAAAAAAAGCTTTAATTGTACCAAGGTTACAACATAAGTAAAGCTCTTTATGATGTGATGAAAATGGTAGTTAAAAAATCATATCTAATACAGTCATGTGTCATGATTTATTTATTTGGTATGGGGTATAACATAAATACATCTTGACTAGAGATTTTGCAAAAAATGTATTCTTTGACCTTAATCAATATTTCTCCTTACCATATAGTGAAGAAAACTGAGTTAAACTTAATATGCACCATATTAAAAATAAAATAATCTAAGTATTATGGCGAAGATTGAACAATTAATTTGAATGGTCAAAGATGTCTTTACTAAATTACTTACCGAAGCCAGTGAACAGCTACTTTGGCAGAACCTAGATAGTCCTAATATCATAGCATTTATAAAGAAAATATAAATCTACTAAGTTATAAGGAGAATAATGAATTGCTATAAGTTCCAATATCCTGTCACCACAGTCAATAACAACTCATTAGAGAAAAACATCAATCAGGAAAAGAATGATATGAATAAATGATGCTAATAAACCTAACAAAGGCTGAATAAAAATTATGAATTGGCGGTTTTCTGCCAAATCTTCAAACAGATGTCCATAATGCCAAGAAAACAAAACTACATTAAAATTTAATAGAAAGAAAAAAATCTCAGAATAATATTATTTTAGCCCAAATTTAAATAGGGCTTTAGAGAAGGCATAAAGTTTATGAAAAGTTGAATCACAGGAGAAGCAAAGAACTGCTTTTAAAAAAATACTGCTCTTAAAAAAAACTGCTCTTAAAAAACAATTTTTTTTTTTATTTATTCATGATATTTACAACTGTATTAAAAAATTAAATACATTAAGTAAATTTGATAACAGAAAATAATAACATGAAATGACTTGTTGAGAAACTACCCACTGGTAGCACTCTAAAAACAAAATGTATTTACAATTAGAGATCTCGAGGCCATCTTCTTTTCAGACGCCTTGGAGGGTTATCAGGAATAGAAGAGGAAGCAAGGTTAGAGAAGAGAGGCTTCGGATGGTTCTGAAGTTTATTATGGAAGGATTGGTATCTGGATTGGGCCAAATCGGAAACATAAAGAACATTAAGGTCATTATGGATTATTTTATT